GGAGCAGGAGGACATGGCTAGGCAGGTGAGGGGGAATGAGGAGGCCGGATTGGTGTGTGCGCATACGTGTGTGCCTGTGCGCGTGTGTAGGCTTCCGCGTGTATGTACACAACCAACCCCTCCAACTCCCCACTAACACTCCCCCTTCCGGCCCCTCCGAAACCCGGCTGGAAAACACACACATACACATACATGCACACATACATGCACACGCAGCTCGTGGAGTCCCTGGCTGCAGATATGGCGGCTGAGCAGCTGGAGGGTCGTAATCTGACGCTGAAACTGAAGCTGTCCACTTTTGAGGTGGGTGAATGGGGGTGGGACCGAGTTGTGAGGGGGGGAGGGGGCGCACCAGGGCCCACGACCTGGCTCCGCCTCGGACTCCGACTCCGCCGCGTCCATCGCGGCAGCAGCTGCTGCTGCTGCTGCTGCTTGCTCTTCCGCCCTGCCCATCTCAACCTCCCGTGCCCCTGCGGTGATGGCCCCCCGCCACCCTCCGGCCCCGTGGGGCCCAATGGCAAGATTGGTTTTCCTGCAATTTCCCGGAATCTGCATGATCTGTGTTAGTGCTTCCCTTCCAGATGGTTGGCTGGCCGGGGGGGGAGGTAATTGTGTATATATATACACGTATGTATAAATACTGGCTGGGTATTGCGGCTGCAGGTCCGCACGCGCGCCGCCACCATGCCGCGGTACGTCCGTACGGCATCCGACATGCTGCCCACCGTACTCCGCCTGCTGCGGGCGGAGGGTCCCCTGGAGCTCCGACTGATGGGTGTGAGGATGGCGGCACTGCGCAAGGTTTGTGCGTGTGTACGTATGTATGTATGTACGCGCGCGCGTGTATGTATGTGTGTGTGTTTGCGTGTATGTATATACGCGTGTGTATGTATTTTCATGTATGTGCGTATGTATGATATGTATGGTATGTATAAAGAAATATGTTTGTGTGTATGTATATGTATGTGATGTGCGGCTACGAGTGCGGCTGTGCACAGGGCGGCCAAGAATGGGGAATCAGTGGCAGTCAGCTGCTAGCTCCCTTTGCTTTTGCCGTCTGGTGTCACCCGCACGGCCTCGTCTCTCTCTCTCTCTATGGCTGCGGCCGCGGCTGAATGAATCTGCGGCAGATGAATCGCCCTGGGCCCGGTCGCTGCTGCTTGGCTGGCGAAGACCGTTGGCTGGGGAAGACGATTATTGCACTGACGGTGACTGTTCGGTAGTTGCAGTTACCATAGCCGTTGTGCAGTTGGGATGATGGTTAAGATGGCGATTGGCCCCGCTGCAGGTCAACGCCGCCGTTAGCAGCCCTCTGGCGCGACTGCTAGGACTGAAACAGTTGAAGCCGGCCAGCGGCACGAACACGAGCGGTAATGACAAGAGCGACAAGAGCGACCAGCACAATGAGATGAAGAACAACGACGGCACCGACAGCCACAAAGTGTTGGATGCGGAAGCGGTGGAGGTAGCAGCACCACCAGCAGCAGCAGCAGCAGCAGCAGCAGCAGCAGTTGAGGCGCCGCCTAGCGGCAGTCCTCATCGGCAGCAGCAACAACCACAGCGACACGCCGACTTCGCGCCGCCGTCTTGCGTCATCACCGCGGCCGCCGCCGACCACACCTTTACCTCCATGTACGGCACTAGGGAGGCGCCTTCGCCAGCGTCCGCGGCTGCGGCGGCGAAGGGGGCGGCAGGGACCGCAGGGACCAATATGCGGATGATGGAGCCGGGTAAAAGTTCCCTAGGCCGTCGGTGTCGGACGGCTGGCGGCGGCAGTAGCGATGGTGATGGCGACGCCGCGACAACGGATAACGCAGGAGCAGCAACCCATAACGCGGTGGAATCGTACGACATGTACGGCGACCGTGGCCTTGGCGGCTTGAACGATATCCCGTTGGTTGACTTGGCAGACTCGGAGGAGGAGGAAGAGGAAGAGGAGGAGGAGGAGCTGCCAGGAGATCTGGATCTTCATCTGGATCTGGATCCGGATCCTGATTTATGGCCGGGAGATGGGGACGGGCAGGGCTACGACCACTTCGGTCATTGTGGTGATCGTAACCCACGGGCCGATCCCGCGGCTCCATTCGTCCCGATATCCTGCGGTCCAAACCTCCGCCACCATTCCCACGAGCAGCCCCATCAGCATAATGAGGACGGCATCACCACCGGCGATTTCGGCGCCGACTCAGCAAACGCCGCCGCCATGACCACCACCGTCGAGGCGGCGGCGGCGCCGCCGCCGCCGCCGCCTGCGAAGCGTCCTCGCACTGACAACAATAACGCCGACGACGTTGCCTTGTCGTCTCCATCCACCTCGTCCTCGTCCTCTTTGGACGCCACAGCCGCAGCCGCGGACGCCGCTGTCGCTGTCGCTGGCGGCACCGCAGCTTACGGCGGCGCTGACGGCGGCTGTGCACACCACCACCATCAAGGGCGACAGAAACTGCAGGGCAGCAGCGAGGACGGTGACGGCGGGGATCGTCACTGCCACAGCCGCTTGTATACCAGCAGCACCCACGCTGCCGCACCATTTAGGACATGTACTAGTACTACTACTACTTCTGCGGCGGCGGCGGCGGCGGCAGCGATGTCGCCGCGGAAATGTGCAGCTGCGGCGGCAGCATTAGCAGCATCAGCAGCAACGGCAACAGCGGGGCCAGCGGAAGTCGCGGGGCTGGAATGCGAGGCTGCTGCGCGGCGAGGTGGTGGCGTCGACGGCAGCGGTAGCGGAATGTGCGGCGGCGGGAGCACTAGTGCTCTGTGGACCTGCCGCGTCTGTACATATGCGCACAACCGGCGGCAGCTGCTGCGTTGTGAGGTGTGTGATTGCTTACGGACCAGCACCCAGCCGCTTCCGCCACCGCCTCCGCCTCCGCCACAGCCACTGACAGCCCTTAGACAGAAAGAACAGCAGCAGCAACAGCGCCCTCACACTCACAACCAGCACCTGCAGCAGCAACCACAGCCGCAGCAGCAGAAGCCCCATCCGCGGCACAGGACACAGCCCCAAGGCCGCCCTCCCCATCCGTCATCGTACCCCTCTGCACATCTCCCCTTGGGGCAGCGCCCGTTGGAGGAGTTGTGGGCGGCGGCGGCGGCGGCAGCCTCCGCCAACCGGCCGTCAATTATATCTTATCCCCCCTCTCCTGGCCTCAAGCTATGTCCCCAATGCGGTGCTGCGGTGGCTACGGTGCGCTGGGGTGAGCATCAGGACTGGCACCTGGCGTTGAGACTGTCCAGGGAGGGGGATTCCGGGTAGTGGAGGTAGTCGGCCGGGGGTGTAGGGACTGGGGTGTGTGTGTATGTGTGTGTCCTTTTAGGAGGGGTTGACACAAACGCAATGAGACGTGACAAGTACCGGATGATTTAATGTGTTCTTATCAGGAGGATCAGGAGCAGGACAGCGCAAAGTCTGTCTTGGATTTATGTTTTTGTGAGTATATATGCGTATATGCGTATATGCATATGTGGGACTTTTCGGCGCTGTACTTGCTTTTCCCAGGCCTTATGTGTCCCGGTTGCCCTGGGCTTGCGGTTTGGGATAAATATTGGGGGAATTATGCTGGGTGGGCATGGGTGGATGGATAGCTTGTGGATGTGTGGATGAAGTACAGGAGGCTGGGGGATGACATTTCTAAAGTCGAGAGGTTGAGGACGAAAGAAGGAAACGGGTGGCAATAGGCAGATGAGGGCGCGAGAGAGCGGTAATGGGGTAATGTACATAGAGTTGGGAGGGGGAGCGATGAGAGGTCTGAATCCCGGGGGGGGGGGCAGTAGCTGTCCCTGAAGCGCGGAGGGTCGTCCTGAGCTTCCCGGGCCCTTTGGGTGCGCCGAAGGAAAGGCGGTGGAAGGTTCGAAGAGATTTGCTTCTAGAGTTTCACGAAAAGGAATATCATTTAAATTTGGCACCGCGGGAAAGCGTTTTGTCTCTTATGTTAAGCGCAGTTCCAGCCGTGGACGTCACCCTCCTAAAGGCAGCCAGAAGCGCGCGACAGCCGTCGTTGCAGATGTACGTCTACAGTATGTGCCTAAACCAATATAGCCGTTTTGGCCGTGCTATCAGACGTACGGCCCAAACAGCCTGTAGTCGTACAGATCTGAAGACTACGTAAAGGGCGCTGTTAGTGCGCACCATGCACCCCAGGTTTACCATTCACGGTTGCAATCCAACCCAACATGAAGCTGGCGGTTACCCATTCGGACTTGGTGGTGAGCCAGCCAAACATGATCGCGTGTGTCTTCGCGTGCGAGGAGCCTGTCACAGTCACTTTGTCTGTTGCGTGTATTGGGTTTTGTGACAGACGAGTGATGTGCGCTGCTTTGAAGCCGAGTGAGGTATATCGAGCTGGCGTGCTTGAGAGGCGTTGGGCTAGGAATGCGCAAGTCGCCGATGAAGAGCAGGCAAAGGTCGCGGAAGGGTAGCTAATGGGTTGCAAGCGCATGGTACCGGTCTGACTTCTTTTCGCTCCGTTCCGTAAACTGTAAAATGCATTGGCTTTGTGTATCTACAAGCCTTTTCCTGCGCAATCATACGGGATATGACATTGCGATTTAGGTATCGGCGACAGCAGCAACAGCGTAACCTATCACTAGCATAGCCAGCATAAGCAAAGCGCTCACCCTAGGAAAGTCAACCAGATACTCGCCAACTAAATCGTAATGGCATATTTGTTATAATTACACGGGAAAAGGCTTGCAGATACATTAAGCCATTGCCTTTTACGATTTACGGTGTAGGGCACGGTACAGCACGGTACGGCACCTTCGCAACAGCACTCATTATGGAGGCCCTGCATGTATGGCCAAACATTTCTCCGGTACTCCGCGTCTGCATGTGTGTATTTGTGTTTCTTGTTCCCCCGCCTGTTTGACAAAGTGCCGTACACGGCGCTTTAACCTTGTCTTCCCTCCCCAACTTTCCATATGCTTTCATGTGTCCGTTGTCCCGTAACGCTTCCATGAGGCGCTGAATGCGGCGCACCTGCCTAAGGACGTGCATGGCGCGCGCATTGGACCTGGGCGTGCATGAGAATCCCTGACGTAAGTGGGTGCTTGGACGTGTGTGCGTGTTGGGTAGCGGGGGCTTTGTCGGTGGTTTGTTCGGGAATGTCTTAGGCCATGTGCCTTATTTGTTGTCGACTCCGTTGAAGTGTGACGAGGACCTGGCGATGGTGTCAAGGGAGGGAGGAGGCCCATCCCGTGTGGAGCTGGTGGTGGCGGATGATGTGTAGGAAAGGATACAGTGGTGAAAGCTTTTGATCCGGCCCCTGGAGGCTAATGCAGGTTCGAGCCCCGCAGCGATCGATGTATGTCCCTTTGGAAATGGCAACCCGGCGTGATTGACGGTGATCGGTTGTGGGTCGGAGCGACTGGTGAATTTCCGAATTTGTTTTGTTAGTTACCCCCGCGATTCCGACGGTTGCAGTACAACGAGGTGTTGCGGCGGCAAACGGTGAGGTCCACATCCGCATCCGACACAGGAGAGGATGCGGCAGCAGGGCCCGAGAAGAACTGAGCGGCACTGCAACAAGGTAGTTGTTGTTCGGGGGGTTATTGGGGGGTAAAGCTCCTGGGAGGGCGGGCCGTGTGCGGTTATGAGAAGCGACAGCCGTTGTTGCGGTTGCGCTCGGATCGGACCTGGTGGGGGGGAGTTACTGGTGGGGGGGTCGTGCCACACGGCTGCATATGGGCCGCGGCGGGTCTCAGCATGTAAAGGGCACCTCGCACTCCATTAAGTGGAGGAGAACTGGCTCTTCCTTTGACCATGGAACGGAGAGTATTGATGATTCTTGATTCTTGAAAGCAGCTCAAGGGCGTGGCCTGTTATACTTCACTTTCATAGGGACAGGACTACCAGGGCTAGTTGACACGGCTCACGAGTATGTTGTAAAATAGGTTTCTGAGGAGGTGCGGCAGCTGCCTCGCACCTGCCCAGGCTCGTACTCCCTCTTGACTGAGTCCCCGTGCGACAGCTGGTGGGATGGTGACTTGGTGAGGCCTTGGCGGTATAGTGGGGCATGGATGGCACCGCGACCCGGCTCTTAACCGCGAATAAGAGTATGTACTTTGACGTGCTGGAAGAGCAGTCTAAAAATTGTAATCTCGTTATTATTGTGGTTGGGGTCCGGTGGTTGGGGGCCGCAAGTGCTGAAAGCCAACCAGGACGTGCCGGCAGTCGATCTTTTGCAAGTTTGGCTTCATGCACTGTAAGGGTTTGGTTTGAACACAGCGCACCTTAGGTCGATCACCGAAGACCGATGCTCGACATCACCGACATCTTGAGATCCGAAGTGCTACGATCGAGCCTATTTAAGAAGCTTTCCACTTGTGTGGTGGGACCGAAAGACCCCCAGTGATGGGTGGTGAGCCGTCTTATCGACCGGCCACCGACGGAAGTACGGCAAAGTGCATCAGATTAGGTGAAGGCCCTATGGCGAAGGCCAAACTACACCGACGAACGATAACGAATAGGCGAATGAGAGTAATGTAACAGCTCATGCTCGTTACATACTTCCCCCCCTAATTGGCTGGTCGTCCCCGACAGCCGACTTATCCACGCCGCCACGCTTGCGCATGGAAAAGCAGAGTCGCAGGCACCCCACTGGCAGTAGACATAGTCCGAAGAAATGCGGAGAAACGAGAAGGCTTACGATCACCTCTTCCAGATCTGGCTTTACGAACGTCCGAGACGAAGGACGGCGAGACAACAGGCGTGACTCCTGGTTTAGGTTGGGACGCGAAAGTAGCAGGTGTTTTACGTGTCTGCCAATTCGAACGCAGCAAATCTGCACAGTTAGCCAGGTTTGACTCTGGTTCCCATGAGTCGTACTCTGGACCTTGATTCTTCCAACGCATTAGAAAGAACCGAGTGCGATGACGCTTTTTTGTCACGTCACGATGATCAAGGACTGCCTCGACTTCGAATTCCAAATCACCATCCACAATCTCCGGTTGCGGAGGTTTCGGAGCACGATCACTCTCATAGTAAGGCCGTAACAGAGACACATGGAATACGTCATGAATACGCGTTCCATTAGGCAAGTCCAAACGATAAGCGACGTCGTTAATCTTTTCCTTGATTATGTACGGTCCAATAAAACGAGGAAGCAGCTTGCGCGGACCTTCAAGACGCATGTGTTGAGTGCTCAGCAACACGACTTCTCCAAGCTTGAACTGACGTTCCCAACGCTTGAGATCAGCAAAACGCTTCATACGATCACGTTGTGCAGCCAAACAACGCTTAGCACGCTCAAGCGCACCTTGCATGTCAGATGCAAAACGTACGGAAACGGCGTTGCGAAGAGCACGCGCCTTCTCCCCCCCCACTTGGCGAGCCAAGAGAGAACTAGGAGTCAGAGGTTCGAAAACGTACATCAGACGAAACGGAGAAGTACCGGTTGAGGAATGCACCCAGTTATTCAGGGCGAACTCAGCCATGGAAAGGAAACGAGACCAGGATCGATAATCACCGGCAACGTGGTGGCGCAAAATATCCTCGAGGGTACGATTTACACGTTCAGTTTGACCATCAGTTTGCGGATGATAAGCCGAACTGAAGCGGAGGTCGATAGACATATCCTCACACAGATGCGTGAAGAAAGCGGAACGGAAACGCGGATCCCGATCACAAACAAGGATCGCGGGGTACCATACCGACGAACAACGGTATCAACGAAAAGCTTAGCAGACTCCACCGCAGTGATTGCCTTGCGACACGGAGCAAGGTGAGTCATTTTGGTAAGCTTGCAAACGAAGACATAGATTGCCGTATACCCATCCGAATCAGAAGGAAGATCCGTAATGAAATCCATAGTGACGATTTGCCATGTCCCTTCAGGAATGAGCAACGGAAGGAGCTTCCCAGCGGGAAGATCGTTAGAGCACTTAACGCGCTGACAACTATCGCACGTACGAACGTATTCTGCAACGGCAGAGCGAAGTTTAGGCCACCAAAACTGACGACGCACCAGGTCCAACGTTTTGGCCGCCCCGCCATGACCCGACATCGGATGATCATGACAGAGATGCAGAACGTGCGAACGAAGTTTGGAATCATCAGGGATCACGAGAGCATGTTGGTTGTACCAGAAACGATCATGCTTTTCCAGAGACGCCGTATTGGACGGATCGGCGAACCAGGGATCAGACGAATAACCTTCGACAAGCGACCGCTCTAAGTCTGGAAAAGAGGTCGATATCTCTGAGATGACGCCAGCGGAAGATGCGGAAGCATCCCCACTCGGAGTGGCGCGAATCGAAATTGCCATCATCAGACACGCGTGACTGTGTCCCGGAAACCGAGACAGAGGATCTGCGGGATTGCAAACTCCTGCGCGATATTGCCAGTCGAACGTGAAAGACTCAAGAAATTCCAACCATCCCGCCGGACGTCGAGACAGTCGAGCTTGTGTCGGGTACGAAAGGTTGGGCTTATGGTCGGTGACGGCAGCGAACTTTGCACCTTCCAAGTAACAACGCCAAACCTTGAGTGCATGCATAAGAGACAGCAACTCACGATCAGAAGTGTGGTAGGTACGTTCAGCTTGCGAATACCGGAACATACACTGAGCAGGTGGACGAGAACCAGGCTCTAGCGGAAAGACGGAAAGCAAACCACGAACGGGCGGCAAATCAGCTGGCAGGAAAACAGACTTTCCTTATCTAACAGCAAAGCACGCATTCGTAGCTCAGCAGGAGAGTCGCCCGGAACCACAGTGCAAACCTTTTGAGCAAAAGACGACAGCTCAGGCGAAGCAGAGGGCGGGGACGCGGAAGGAGGAGGAGGAAGGGGAGGGGGAGGGGGAGGAGGAGCTAACAGGTAGTGAGGAGGAGGACGCCAGTGGTGGTGGTAGCGGGGACGACGAGGAAGGCGAGGGAGAGGAGGGGAGGCGTGGGGGGAGAGTGGAGGGGACTGAAAAAGCGCGGGGGAAAGATAGGGATGGTGCGGGCAAGGCCTCCACGGCTGCAAATAGCAAGCGTGTAGCTGCCGTTGACGCAGCAGCCGGCGGCGGCGGCGGCAGCAACTGTGTAGGTGACAACGATGACGACGACGACGACGACAGCGATAGTGATGACGATGGTGCTGGCGGAAAGAACAAGAAGGTGAAGAAGCAGGAGCGGACACGTCTACTTCGCTTCCGCCGTCGTATCCCATGTCTGCTGCTGATCCTGATCCTCCTGTCGCGGCCGTTGCCGACCGCGACAATACTGTTGTAGAAGTAACTAATCGCGCTTCTTCTTTGTCGATTACGGAGAAGGCGCCTACGTACCCACGCTTCGACAAGTTACTGGAGATGTCTCCAGAGTCCCTCGAAAAGCAGCAAGTGACCCTGGCGCAGGGTTGGGCGTTGCAGAAAATAGCCATCCAAAATGAATGCAACGCTGCGGGCTA